GATTAGTCTCTCAATAATGGAAACAAAAGTACATTGAAATTATACATTGAACTTGCTGGGGAAAACATTAAATGACTTCCAACATAGAATTCTGTATTGAACATATCTTTCAAGAATGAAGTTGGACTTCCAGGTAGCGAAAACACTGGCATCCTAGCTACCAGTCTCTCAATATTTTATTGCAAAATAATACAAGGCACAAGGAAGAAAAAGTATACAGAAATCACACTCTCAGGGTAATTTGAAGTCAGTAATTTTGAAACTTCAAACAATAAAATGAGAAAAATCACCAAATCTCAGCATGTATTCTCACAGGCCCACCTCAGCCACACCCCACCAAAAGGCTCTGCAAAAGCAGATGGAGAGAAACTGCAGGGAAGACAGGACAGAGACAAGAGCAAAGCACATAATGTTCTAACCTTGGTCTGAAGCTACTACCAGAAAGACCAAGTCCACCTAAGTCCAAAAGGTCTAAAACATGTATCCAAGCAAATCAGAGCACAAAACAGAGAGAGAGGACTTCAAAGCCAACACACTTCAAAGGGGACAGACATGATTTAAGGGGACTGTCTTTGAAAACACGATTCAGCGAAGGGAAAGGTAAAAAAAGGAGATGCACTCTTTGACAACCAAGCTATGAAAGAGAAAGGAAGCAAAGAGGAAAATTTAGAAACCTAGACAAATGAGAACTGCAAAACTGGAGCACTTATAACTTTTCCCCATCAATAAAACATACCAACAACAACCACACACAAAAAAAAAACAATAAAGTACCTGAACTTTGCTCTATTAGGAGATCTCAGCCATGAAGCATGAAAATATAAATAGTAGATATGAATGAATACTGAGAAGGAAGAAATTAATCGGTCATTATTTTCATATAATTATGTATGTGGAAAATGCAAAATAATTTACAAATGAGAAATAATAAGATTTAGTTCTATCTATTGGCTTCAAACAGAAAGACCTCCTCATCAAGAACAATTAGAAAAGCTGAATTTTTTTTTAACCAAAACTGAAGGATTGGAGAACTAGAAAGGTAAGAAGGACTTATGAGAGCAACATCCTAGAGCAAAGGAAATTGAGAGGTGAACATAAAAACTGATATAAAACTTTTACCTCAGGCTTTTTTTTTTTTTTTTTTTTGAATCCGAGTCTCTGTCACCCAGGCTGAAGTGCAGTAGTGACATGATCATGGATCACTGCAGCCTCAACTTCCAGGGCTCAGACAATCCTTCCACCTCAGCCTCCTGAATAGCTAGGACCACAGGCACATGTCTCCACACCTGGCTAGTTTATTTATTTTTTAATTTTTTTATTTTTTCTGTAACTTATTTTTTTTAAAGTGGGGACGCAATTATAGCACATATATGGGCTAGTTTATTTTTTTGTAGAGATAAGGGATTCACTATGCCACCTAGCCTGGGTTCAAGCAATCTACCTGCCTTGGTCTCTCAAAGACCTGGGATTACAGATGTGAGACACCTCACCGGACCTAAGCATTTGTTGATTCTTAAGTGATGACTAAGATTTAGTGACACTTAGCAGCAGAAAGGCCAGGCAAGAGGCAGAAAACCCAAGCAGAAATTTTAGGCAGTATCACAGATTAGAGGAAATGAAGAGTTCTGCACCTACCAAGGAAGGGGTCACTGGTAAACAGGCTTTCAATTAGGATACTTGAATGGCTACACATTAGAAGTAAGGACTGACAAGAAATAGACCAATTTTAACAAATACTGAATCCCACTTGGTATTATATTAGTTCCACCCCATACTGGATTAAGCTGATCTGGCCCTATCTGAACTGCCTGCAAGAAGCAGCAAACTAACTTTAGAGGAAGAGAACATTATCCAGAGCCTCAAGCGATTGCTACAAACTTTTTAACTTATAATATACAGCATGCAATCAAAATATATTATTATCAAAATAATATATATTATTATCAAAAGACAAGATTAAATAATGAAAAGTCAAGAAAAGAATAGAAACAATCCTATGGAAGGTACAGATTTTTCAGTCATCAACAAGAAATTTTGAAATAATGGTAGTGATCAAGTTCAAAAAAATAGAAGTCCGGGTGTAGTAGCTCGTACCTGTAATCCCAGCACTTTGGAAGGCCAAGGCTGGAATATTGCTTGAGCCCAAGAGTTTGAGACTAGGCTGGGCAGCATAGCATCTCCACACAAAAAAAAAAAAAAAATGAAAAAATTAGCCAGGCTTGGTGGTGTGCACCTGTAGCACCAGCTACTCAGGAGGCTAAGATGGAAGGAGTACCCAAGTTCAGGAGGCTACAGTGAACCTTGACTGAGCCACTGCACTCCAGCCTGGGCAACAGAGAGACCTCGATGGAGGGAGGGAGGGAGGGAGGGAAGGAGGGAAAGATGAAGAATTTCAGGAGAGAATTAAAATATATTAAAAAATTAAATGGAGAGTTTTATTTATTGACGAGATGGGATAGGTGTGTTTCTATTCCTCTCACTAAAAACAACAAAAACTTCAGGCATTAATATAAAACAAAACAAAAGAAAGGCTCAAAGGTGGAAAGAAGAGGGCAGGTTGTCCAGAGACCTCAGGATTTGAAGAACAATGTGAAAGTGACATCCCTGGGTTTTCTTTCTGCCTCATACATCCCACAATGGGTGCTAGAGAATCTGGCAACCCAGAAATGTCAAAGGGTACAGATAAGCCCAAAGGAAAGCCTTCTCTCTCTAGACAAAGGACCAGGAAACAGGTAGCCTAACAAGACAGAATACTTTTAGAGAATAACTGCACAACTCTAAACAAATGCCACAGAAAAAACAGAGGCCCAGCTTCATCCCATGCCAGCAAAGGCTGAGCGGCGAGCCTAGACTTCCACCCCAACCTAGCTGTAATGAAGCATCCCCTCCCTGATTTGGGTGGTGTCAAGGAAGGCCAAGTAGGGAGTAGGACTTCACACTGCACAAAAACGAGGATTCCTGCTGTGGTGTCTGTTGGGGCCACATGAGGAGCAGTAACAAGCCACCTCCCACCTGCGGTATCAACTAAGGCTAAGAGAGATCCTGAACTTCCTCTCCCATCTAGAAGAAGCAAGCAACTCCCTACTTCTCCCACCAGCACATTGTCAGAGGAAGTCTGCTTAAACAGAAGACTTAAATAATGTCCAGAATTTCACAATAAATACTCAAAATATCAGGATACAATTTTCAAAAATCCATTATGCCAAGAACCCAGAAATGCAACTTAAGTGAGAAAAAACAGACTCCAAAAAGATGACACAGATGTCAGAATTATCTGACAAGGACTTTAGAGCAGCTGTAATAAAAGTACTTTAAGCAATTACAAACAAATAGGACAAATAATAAAAAGAGTCTCAGAAAATAAATAGAACATATGATGAGGAACTGAATGGAAATTTGAGTAGTAAGAAAACAATAATTGACATAAACTCAGCAAACAGGCTCAATAGCAGAATGGAGGGGACGCGAGAAAGACAACTTGCCTGTCAGTGAATTTGAAGACAGAATAGTAGGTGTTGCCTAATGAACAATGGAATCTAGACTGGAAAAAAAAAAAAAAAAAGCAGAGCCTCAGAGATATGTTGAACCTTAACAAAAAAGGTCAAGCAGTCATGTCATCATGTCATAAGCTTTTCTCTTTTCTTGAATTCTGTCATCAGAGTTCCCCTGAAAAGAGGAGAAAGAATATAGGATATATATGTATTCAAAGAAATAATGGTTGAAAATTCCCCACATTTGGCAAAATACATAAACCTAAGAAATAAGAAGCTGAGAAAATTCCGAACAGGATAAATCCAAATAAATCCATACAAGACACATCATAACCAATTTCTGAAAACCAAAGAAAAAGAATAATTCTTGAAAACAATGAGAGGAAAAAGACACCTTAGCTGTAGTGGGGGAAACATTCAAATGACAGCAGATTTCTCATCAGAAACTGTGCAGGACAGAAGAAGGAATTGGCACATTTTTTAAGTGCTGAAAAAGAAGAAATGGTCAACCCCAGATTCTATATCTGGCAACAATATCCTTCAGGAATAAAGGGAAATCAAGACATCCTTAGACAAATAAAGACTAATAGAATTTGTCACCAGCTGACCTACTCTTTTGAAAAAATGGCTGAAGGAAGTTCTTGAAACAGGAAATAATAAGGGAAGGAATCTTGGAACATCAGAAAGTAAGGAAGAACATAGAAAGAGTATATAATATGGGAAAACAGAGTAAGCTTTTCTCTTTTCTTGAATTCTGTAAATTATGCTTGACAGTTGAAGCAGATATAACTTTGATGTGGTTCTCAGTGAATGTAGAGAAATATTTTTTTAAATGTACAAGAGTGTGGGGGAAAGAACTTCATAGGAGGTAAGATTTCTACACTTCACTAGAACTGGTAAAATGTCAACACCAGTAAATTGTGATAATTTGTGTATCTATAAAGGGTAGGTTTGGACAGCACATTTGAACAGTTTGAGAGGTCAGGATGAGAGCATGTGAAAGCTGTTAGCTCACACTTTCTAGATTTGGTGCCTGGAAAGTTAAGAGGGCTGGAACAGAAACTACTGTAGACACAGGGAAAAGCAGCCAGTGGAGAAGAGCGCATATTCCAGAGAGTGTTGGATGATGGAGCATGGACGGTGGCGGGATTGGCTTTGGGAGGAAAAGAGCCTCTGTCTCTGAGAAAGCAAGAGGCTAGCTGAAGATACACCTTTGAAGGAAGATAGGGAAACTGAAGGAGTTGTCTGAGGGTGACTCTCCTCACAGTCAAGTAGGCACCTGTTGATGGAAGAGAAGCCGAGATGAGGGAGATAATGGAGGTTTGGGGCGCAAAAAGCGGGGATGAGCACCAGAAGTTAGACATTTAGGGAGTGTCAGGGGCTGACCGGTTTTCAGACTCGGTACTCAAAAATCTGTGAAATAACGAATTGACCACCAGGTGGCGGTATCCATGGAGGCTCGCATCCCATCGGTCCTGGCGTCCAGGGCGGAAGAAGGCGCGGAGGTGGCTCTCTGGCCCGCTTCGTCTCTACTCCCTTATCCCGACTGACGTTGGACAACAAAGATGGCGGCAGGAAGCAGCAATTATTGGGAAGGTGAGGGCGAGGAGGCCTCCAGTTGGTCCCCGCGAGGGTCAGAGGACTTGAATGAGGACAGGTTTTGGGAGAGGCAGCAGGAGAAAAATCCAGGCTTCCAGAGCGGCAGAGCTGAGGAGCGGGGCTTGCCTAGTGGAAGCCCCGGGGCCTGAGGACTGAAGAGACAGAATGGTCGGGGGCAAGGGGCTGGCCTGTCCCGGCTGTGTAAGCAGGACCTGGGCAGGGGTTGGGCAGAGTGCACAGAGCAGGGACGGAGAGGAAGAGTACCTGGATCGCCATATAGAACTGGGTGGAGGGATGGTGCAACTCGGACGAAGAGGCTTGGGGTACGAACTCTGAGGAAACAAGTGTTGAGCAGAAAGATCCAGAGCCCGGGAGACTGGAGGAGTCAGCGCCTTGGAGCTGAGGTCACTGTTGGAAAACAGAGTGGGAAAAGAGAAAGGAGGGACTTGTCATTCCGGTCCTTGGGGGAAGTATGAGCGGAATGTCTCCTACTGGGTCCCCATGGCAACTTCAAGCTGGGGACTTTGAGGATTGGGTGTTTGAAGGCAGAGAAAATAACTTTATCTTCTGCTCTGGCGTCTAAGATCGGTTTTGTTAAAAGGGAAAGTTGAGAGAATCTATGTGATTTGCAGTTATTACATTTACTACCCTTCTTCCACACACACACAAAAAAACCTTCTTGCGGTTTGACAAGTGCGTTTACTGAATTCCTGAAAATATGATCCGATAAAGTGAGCTCATGTGAAACTCATTCTTGGATCGTGTTGATTAACAAGGTCAGAAAAGGCTCATCTTTTCCTTTCAACGTCTCTTTGCTTTACTACAACATAGAAATTACTTTCCGAATCCCTTTCCTCTGATCTGTTGCCTGTTACTACCCATAGAGTCCTCTAAAAACACAGTATTGTCACTATCAGCCACTTGGTCTAAGAAACTTAATTCTAAGTTCATCCAGACTTCCTTGTCTTACTTTCAAAATGCTTGCACTTATGTTTTGTATTAGAGAAGACAATTACATTACGGAAGTGTGCTTATAGTTTAAAACATATATTAAAATGCCCATTTGAAATGTGTTACTAGCTAAAAAACATTTTAAAATTATGTAGAAAGAGGCAACTGGCATTTTTAATACTAGTTATTAGGCTATGGGGTTTTTTGTTTGTTTGTTTGTTTTTTGAAGAGCCAGGCTATAGTATTACAGCAGTTCATTATTGACAACCTACTCTGTATGAGCTGTTTTGGGCATATGATTACTAGTGCATAGAAAAACCCTGAAAGTAGGGGGTTAAAAAACAAAAAGCTGAGGTTCATAAGTTAAGTAGATTGTCAGTAAATCTGAGTCAAGAAGTGGCTGTGCTGAGATTTGAACTGAGATTTGGTCTCTAGACAAATATGGTCTACTATGTTAACTCTGCTTCCTACTTCGGGTTGCAAAGTATATTGAAATTATGTTTTGTGTTCCTTATCCCTGAAAGAGAGATTTCTTACACCATCCCTTGCTGTTTTTCAACCCTTTTATTTTAACCTTCACTTCACAGTGAATGAGAGTACTCATATCAATGTGAGTTTCCAGACTGTGCCCTCACACAACCCTTTGGATGCCAAACTACTAGACCAGTTTCTCTGCTTGTTTGTTTACTTCTGTTTCTAAAACTTATGCTCTTATTTCTGTCATACTCATATTCTACCTCATTAGTTAGTAGCACATTGTTTCATGTTAGTTTTAGCTCTCTGAGTTTAATTTTCTTTTTGGTTTTATTTTTTTTTGGAAAGTAGGATTTATTAAGAGGACAGAAAAGCTCCCACAGTGGGAGGGGACCCGAAGGGGTTGCCCAATTTTCTTATTAAAAGGCAATTTTAATGGTAATTTATTTTTTCTTTATGTTCAATCGCTAAGTTATTTTACTATTATGAAAAAAAGTTCATAAGCCTAATAAAGCTTTGGAACATAAAAAGACAGCAAAAACCTTCTCAAAAACAGTAATAGCTTCTGTCTTGTAATGTTAGCTGGTAAGTTGTTATGATGCTGGTCATAGACCATATTCAGCTCCTTTGTGATTTGTATTTCTTCTCGTTTTCCTCTGAATTATAGAATTTTAGTTATTGCTATAAAAATAGCTTGAGGGATGTTAGAAGAACATTTGTTTTCTAGCTGTTTTTGAAATAAAGCTAAAAATTTGTATCTCTCACTCTTGCTTCCCTTCTTGCCCCACCTGAAGTTTATAAGCGACTAATTTGCTTTCCTGGGCAAGTCCTTGGTTTCTTCCTTTCAAAACTCTTCTTATGGAGGGAACTAGATCAGTATATGATCATTTTCACAGTTTGTTTTCTTCATAACAGTCTTGTGAGGTTCATGTCTACTGATGAACTTTTTGTGTCTAATTATTTACTTTTATAATTTTGTTAAAAGACCTCAGGAAACAGGCTCGACAACTGGAAAATGAACTTGACCTGAAACTAGTTTCCTTCAGTAAACTATGTACAAGTTACAGTCACAGCAATGCCCGAGATGGAAGACGCGACAGGTATAGGTACTACCAGATTCTGTCTCTTATGCCTTAAATTATATAATGTTTTTAAAGCATTAAAAAAAACTAAAATGTATGACCTCTGTAACTTGGTCTGTTGGTGAATTTTTGGTGGAGATTTTGTTTTTTGGTTTTTTAGTAACTTATTAATTCTTCCTAATTATTGAGACTAACATTTATTTGGCATCCATAAACAAAGACAGTGACAGTGATGGAGGAAACTGCTAGGGTTAAGAATGAGTTTGTATCAAAAATATGAGTGTCTAGCTCAGCCAGTATAAGGAAAGTGACTGATTTGCCTACATTGTATTTCTTGTGTCTTCTAATTGCTAACTAGATCTAAGGAACTACCCAAATGCAAAGTATACATACTGCTATTTTGGTGTTTATTCTCTTAGAATGGATCTGATACAGTGTGTATCCTCACTCTTAATCATTGAAGCTATTTTTGATTTTGCTACTTTTTTGAGAAACTGGTATATTACTAAATTGAACATATGGAAAATATGTTTTTATTTTCGAATCTTATGCTCACTTTTTTAGAGACAGGATCTTGCTCCATCACCCAGACTGGAATGCAGTGGCACAGTCATAGCTCAGTGTGGCCTCAAACTCTGGGCTCAAACTGTCTTCCCATCTCAGCATCCTGAGTAGCTGGGACTACGGGCATGCAACATCATGCCCAGCTAATTTTTAAAGAAGTTTTTCTAGAGACAGGGTCGCACGTGTGGGGCAGGATGGTCTCAAACACTGACCTCAAGCTATCTTCCTGCTTCAGCTTCCCAAAGTGTGAGCTGGCCAGGTTCGGTAGGCTGAGGCAAGTGGGTTGCCTGAGCCTGCAGGTTCAAGATCAGCCTGGGCAACGGCGAGACCTTGTCTCTACAATAAATCAAAAATTAGCCGGGCATGGTAGCATGTACCTGTAGTTCTGGCTCCTTGGAAGGCTGAGGTGGAAGGATTGCCAGAACCCAGCTGGTCGATGATGGGGTGGCCCTGAGTGTGCCACTGCACTCCAGCCTGGGCGACAGAGTGAGACTCCAACTAAAAAAAAAACAAAAAAAAAAACAAGTGTGAGCCACCATGTCCAGCCCCTTATGCTTACTTTAAGCCATTGCTTATTTCAAAACAATATTAGGAAATCTTTAAGACACTTAGAAAGATATAAAGAATAATACAATGAACTCCCATGTGCCTATCTAACATTTTAAGAAATAATCATTACTGATTCCATTGAAGCTTTTTATTGCACCCCACTTTCTCTCTCCCCATCATCAACATATATATTTACTCCATATATTTGTATTCCTAAGTAATTAATAGGATCCTATGGTGTTGTATAATATACATAGTATAATTTTGCAACTTTTTTGTGTTTAACATTGTTTTTGAGATTTAGCTATGGATGCATTTAACTCTGGTATATTCATTTGCTACATATAGTTTTGCATTATATAATTGCATCACCCTGTTTAAGCATTCGATGGATGGACATTGTTTCTAATATTTGCTAGTTAATAATAATAGTGCTTTTCATAGCTGACACAGAGTGTTCATTATATGTCAAGTACTGTTATAAGAGCTTTATATAAATGCTGCTGGGAACTTTTTTTTTATTTTTTGAGTTGGAGCCTCACTCTATCACCCAAGCTGGAGTGCAGTGGCATGCTCATAGCCACTGCAGTCTCGACCTGTTGGGCTGAGGCGACCCTTCCTCCTCAGCCTTCCAAGTAGCTGGAACTACAGGCATGCTCTACCACACCCAGTTAATTTTTTGATTTATTGTAGAGACAAGGTCTCACTAAGTTGCCCAGGCTAGTCTCGAACCCCCGGGCTCAGGCAGTCCTCTCACTTCGGCCTCCCAAAGTGCTGGGATCCCAGGCTGAGCCACCATCCCCAGCCAGGAACATTTTTACACAGAATGTTTATACCATATATCTAGCAGTGAAATTGCTTGTAGGAGAGTTATTTGTTGTTAATCTACATTTTACCCAGTTTTTCAAAGGTGGTAGGTGGGATATTTTTCAGCTAATAATAAAAATAACAAGACTGAGCTTGGATTTGAACGTAGATCTTTCATTTTCAGAGCCCCCACTCTACACCCTGCTATGTAGGAGGTGCAAAAAAAATGTATACACATTTTAAGAGATGTTATCTATGTATTACTTTTTCAAGTTAAATTATGGTAGCAGTGTATAATATGACATTCGCTCAACCATACTTCTGCCATTTTTGTTGATTGTCCTTTCACAGGGTGACTTTAGCATTCATTTGATTATGCCATCTTTTGAGGGAGCATCATACTTAAAATGTGTGTGCATTTTTTTGGCACCCCTTGTATTATGCACATTCTAACAAAAGACTCATTTTAACACCATAGCCAAAGTATTGTTCCTTTTTTATCTAAAAATAAGTTATTAGCATGTCACATATATCTCATTGCAGTGCATTGCTTTGTGCTTATCTTTATTTAGGAAGTAAAGAGAGTAAGGAATGTTCTTTTCTGTGACTAAAGGTATTTTATGATTGGAAAGCATTTTTTATGTTCTGTTTTCTTCGTGAACTTAATACTTGTGTAACTTCTTTAAAGGAAAAACTATTTTGAAAAGATTTCCTATTATGAATTATAACTGACTTTGTAGGATGATTTCAACCTATTTGTCCCTTTAAATTAAAAAAAGCAATTGCTTTGTTAAGCACCAGTCAGGCCATGTGTTCTTTGAACTGTGGCCACCATCTTTTCTTAGCTTTGCCCCCGTCCCCTACCTTGGGGAGGTGAACCTTCTCTCTCTAATTGGCTTTCTTTTTTTTTTTTTTGAGATAGAGTCTCGCTCTGTCGCCCAGACTGGAGTGCAGTGGCTGCTCCCGGCCACCGCAGCCTCCACCTGCTGGGCTCCGGTGATCCTTCCACCTCAGCCTTCCAAGTAGCCAGAATTACAGGCATGCACTACCACGCCCGTCTGATTTTTTGATTTATTGTAGAGATGAGGTCTCGCTGCCCAGGAGGTCTTGCCACGGGGCTCAGGCAATTCACTCACCTCAGCCTCCCAAAGGCGCGGGATTACAGGCTGAGCCACCGAGCCCGGCTAATTGACTTTCTAAATAAGCTATATTTTCTAATCTTTAAACACACACACACACACACACACACACACACACACACACACACAAAAGCCTAAGGCCATGAGAATCAAGATTTAGTGTATGTTCTTTCTCTTTTTTTTTTTTTAAGTCGGGATCTTTTTTCTTAAGTCTGTCGCCCAGGCTGCAGTGCAGTAGAACGATCATGGCTCACCATAGCCTCAACCCCCTGGGGTCAGGCAATCCTTCCACCTCAGCCTCCTGAGTAGCTGAGACTCCAGGCACCTGCCACCACACCCAGCTAAATTTTTTATTTTTTGTAGAGACAAAATCTCGCTATGTTGCCTAGATTGGTCTCAAACTGCTGGGCTCAAGCAGTCCTCCCACCTTGGCCTCCTAAAGTGCTGAGATTAGAGAGGTGTGAGCCACCACATCCTACCAAGATTCAGTATGTGTTCTAAAGTGTTTTGTTTGATGTCCAGGTTGGATGCATGTCACAATGAATTAACTCAGTGATGGCTAGAATTTTTCTTCCAGGAATCTTTTTTCTTTTTTTTTTTAAACTTTCTGTATTTTTAGAACTTCAGGGTCTATCATCACACACCTTTAAAATGAATTAAATTTAGCTGAGTCCTAGTATTGTGACTAACTAGTTTGGGGCCATTTCTCTTGACTCTTTTACTGTCCTGATAAGTATATGAATATGATGACTATGGAATAGCCAGTAATAGAGATTGCTCCCTCATTGCTCATGTGCTAATACATATCCTCTGGGGACCTGATGATGGTCAGTGTTTTTTCAGAAAAGGCAAAAGAAACTTTCAGGACATATGGATGTAGAATTTGAATCTGTCAAATATAAGTTTCACTTGTAAAGTTTTTTTTGTTTTTTTTTGGAGTTAGGGTCTCACTCTGTCATCCAGGCTAGAGTGTAGCAGTACAACCATGTCTCACTGCAGCCTCAATCTCCTGGGCTCAGGTGATCCTTCCACCTCAGCCTCCCAAGTAGCTGGGACTACAGGTGCACACCACCATGCCTGGCTTATTGTTTTGTTAGATTTTTGACTGACTATTCAGATTTGAAAAGACAGTTCAAGGTATTTTTTTCAAAGCAAAAAGATGATTGTATATTATAAGTGGAAACATAGAAGGTTTGTATTAAAATAAGCTGGATATGGCTATATATATTGAACTTAAAGGCAGTTCTTGATTTTTCAATAAATAGTTATCTAGTCTGTGGATCATTTACATCTCAGTTTTGTTTCCTCTTGATACGAGTCAGGAAAGAAGAGAGAACTTAATTTAAAGGCCTAAGGAACCACACTTCTTTTGGGGTAAAAATTTAAAAGATTATTCCTCATAGGTCCTATAACATAATTCATAATTCATTTTATGGCTCCTCTTGTATGCTATACTTCATAATTCTACAGTTATTTTTTTCACATAATTTCTTCTTTTAGATTAAGAGTTTAGTTGAGAACTCCCATAGCTTAAGTTACTTTCTACCATTTGTGAAACAGTAAACAAGCATTTTCAAAATGCTTTCTTTTTGTTTTTAAGATTGGATATATTAACGCTTGGAAAAATCTTACATTCAATCATATTATATACTGAATGTAATATTGTAGGACATAGGTGGTCTTATAGGAAAACTTTTATAAAAATCATAATTTCTTGAGAAATAGAATATCTTAGGGGTTCTACTTGACCCTTTAATAATAATCACCTTATTATTTTAAGTATGTTTTAGGACGAGATTTGAGTAATGGATTCTCTTTAACTGAACTTCTTTTTAGTTCTGACACAACACCCCTTTTAAATGGATCAAGCCAAGACAGAATGTTTGAGACAATGGCAATAGAGATTGAGCAGCTTTTGGCAAGGGTAAGTGCTTTCTGTTAAATGCCTATTTTGCTAATAACTGTGTACTTGTTAGGTATGGTACTGGATTGTATTTAAACAGACGTGTTTATTGAAATTATGCATTCAAAATCTGCACCTCCAGGTCACTTGATTTTGATGACAGCCAATGCCAGGTCGTATGGTGTTATTTTAGCCTTTATGAATTATTTGGGAGAAATACTGATGTCTTGACAGTTTTTTTTTTTTTTTTTGCTGTCAGCCAAAAGGCAAATGATTTGTATTTAACTATTTATTGAGCTTTCTAAAATATTTTTGGTTTTTTTCTTTTTTTCTAGCTTACAGGAGTAAATGATAAAATGGCAGAATATACCAACAGTGCAGGTGTCCCATCCTTGAATGCAGCACTAATGCATACATTACAACGACATAGAGACATATTACAGGTAATATTTTGGGCTTGAGACTTTTATGTTGTCACAGGAGGTTTTTTTAAAAAAAAAAAAAAATTCTCTGAATAGGATGTGTGCACATGTATTTAAAAGGACAAAGAGAAAAAGATCTTCTGAGAAAATAAATGCCATGCTATAGGAATTTGTCTTGTTTTACTTTCTTGTGTGTATCAGTATTAAAGAATTTTGGAAATGTCTAATAGCTCTTGCTTTTTCTTAGTGATATTGAATAATATTCATCACTAGATAAATATACTTTCTAAAATTCTTTTGAGTAGAAGTCTCAATCTGTTTCCCAGGCTGGAGTGCAGTGGCATGCTCACAGCTACTGCAGCCTTGACCTACTGGACTCAGGTGATCCTTCTGCATCAGCCTTCCAAGTAACTGGAACCACAGGTGTGTGCCACCACACCAGCTGTTTTTTTTTTTTTTTTTTTATTGTTGTTGCCAAGTTGCTCAGGCTGGTCTCGAACCCCTGGACTAAGGCAATCCTCTTGCCTCCACCTTCCAAAGTGCTGGGATTACAGACGTGAGCCACCACTGCTGGCTGATAAATATATTTCTGCTCTGGGAGACCTACCTAGCTAGCTATAACAGTGAAATAGCTAATGGTCATGCATAGTCAATAATATGGTGGTTTAGAGTATACTTTCATCAGACTTTGAAGATTACATGAAAAGAAAATAACTTACTATAGTATATTTTTTGAGAAAATACTAAAAGTATGTACCAATAAAACAAAATAAACTCTTTTTTTTCCCTGCCTCTTTCAAGTGCCTACCCAAACAGCAACTATGCATTGAAACATCATCCACCAGCTTTCAGGGGTACTGTCCCTCAGATCGCTGAGGGCTTCTAAGCCCTTCCTCCCAGGCAATTAGGTGTCCAGACACCCTAGTGCGGTGAGGGATCTGATATCAGTAACTCCCACCTACCCCTCTAGAGTGTCTGAGTTCGTGGTCCCTATTCTGCACAACCATATGCGCTCCCACTGTGGCAATCACACATTTGCTCCATTAACACCCCTCCTGACCAAACACCAACCCAGAAAAATCCGGATCAACTGCTACTAGAAGGCAAATATTCTTAATATTGAGAAAATTAAGCAACCATTTCTAATTTTAAAAACTCTTCTTGGCTGAGCACATTGGCTCACCCCTGAAATCCTAGCACTTTGTGATACCAAGGCTGGAGGATTGATTGAGCCCAGGAGTTTGAGACCAGCCTAATCAACATCGCAAGACCTCGTCTCTAAAAAAAATCAAAAAAGAAATATTAACCAGGTGTAGTGGCCCATGCCTGTAGTACCAGCTACTTGGGAGGCGAAGGCAGAAGTATCACCTGAACCCAGGTTGAGGCTGCAGTAAGCTGTGATTATGCCACTGTACTCCAGCCTGGGCAACAGAGTTGAGACACCTGACTCCAAAAAAATAAAAATAAATAAAAATCTCTTTAAAAAATAGGAATAGAAAGATACTTTCATGCAAAAATGTGTATATTAGATGAAAAGCTAGCATCATGTTGAATGGTAAAACACTAAAAGCATTCCCATTGAAGAAAAAACAAGATACTCATGATCAACACAAATGTCTAACATTATTTTGGAAGTTCCTGTTGGTACAATTAGACAGTAAAAAGAAATGAGTTAAAAATATTGGAAAGGAATCAGCCGGGCGTGGTAGCGCATGCCTGTAATTCCGGCAACTTGGAAGGCTGAGGAGAAAGGATCGCGGGAGCCCAGCAGGTCGAGGCTGCGGTGGCCGGGAGCGGCCACTGCACTCCAGTCTGGGAGACAGAGTGAGACTCCAACTCAAAAAAAAAAAAAAAAAAATATTGGAAAAGAAGAGGCAAAATTTCTATTAGGTGGCAGGATAAAATTATATGTCTAATAAACCCAAGGGGAAAAAATTGAATTCACTAAGATGATAAGTTACAAAATTAATATATAAAAGCAAGTAGTTTTCCTATACAAACAGTAACCTGTTAGAAAATGTAATAGAAGAAACCATACAATTCTTATGTATAAGTTTAATAATAAATGTGTAGGTGTATGTGTAAGATTCTGCTGAGGGACATAGAACAATATTTAAATAAAGGAAAGAATCACTCTGCTTTTATATGGGAAGACTTTTCCTTTAAACCTATAAATTGAATGCCATTCCAACAATAATAGCAGGATTTTTATTTTACTGTTGTTTCATTTTTATTTTTTTAAGTTCTAAGAGATATAAAGGACAGGACAGTGATTTTATGGTACTGTTCCCCAGCACTAAATTATTTTCATTTGAAAGAATCTGGTCATTCTTCAGGAAATTAACTGTAAAGTTATTTTTACCTTTTGTTGATTTGATTTGATTTTTTTTTCTTTTAATTTTTTTTATTTTAACAATGTGGAGTACAATTCAGGGTTAGGTATGCAAATGTTCATTGTGCAGGTACCCTTAATTTGATTTCTTAAATAGCAATTGTCTTGGCAGAAATTTAAAATGTGATGACAATACATAATTGTTTCGATGAGATGAAAACATACAATTGGCTTATGTTGAGACTGGATGTTGATTTATTACAGGATTATACACATGAATTTCATAAAACCAAAGCAAACTTTATGGCAATACGGGAAAGAGAGAATCTCATGGGATCAGTACGAAAAGATATTGAGTAAGTTACCTTTATATTATTTTGTAGAATGTTTATTCAAATATAAGTTTAGAATTTCTTTAGTTAATTGTAAATTGAGTAGTGAAACCATGATTTAGATTTCAGGGTTTCTAATTCCCATTTCACTGTTCTTTGAACATTGCTGCTACAGAATCATCCTAATCTACCCTGCCAGTTATATTTCCTACTTGCTCTGGTTTTATCATTGGCTCTTGACAACCTTGACTTTCCTGTCTTAATTCAAAGTCCAGCTTAGATGATATCTTTATGAGTTCTCTTTTACCACCCATGCTAAAAATTATAACATTACTTTTATGATCCTTCGCAGATGTGTCAAAGAAAATTTGTTTTAAAAAAAGAATTGTAAGTTCACAATCAGCCTGGGCAACATAATGAGACATTGTCTCAAAAAAGAAAGAAAAGGATTATAACATAACATAATAACTGAAGCTCTACATATTTCCCTTCCTGATTGTCACCTATCCCCTGCCTCTCTTCCTTGTTTCAACAATTATATATTTAGGTAACTATTAATACAGCTTTACTTCCCTGAAGTTCTGAAATATGTTTTTTTCCAGGTTTAATACAAACTCATAACCTTGTGTCATTATTTAAGGACTCCCTACATTTTAATGCTGATCTTAATCTATATTTTTAAAGATTTGTTCTTTCATCCTTTCACCTCACCTTCAGTGATATATTCTATCATTTCATACACAGTTTTGAATTTTTTCACAACTGAGCACAATTGCCATAGTAAGTCACATGGACACCTAATTGAAGCTGAAGACTTTTATTTTGGACTATCTATTGATAATATCATTATCTCACTTGTGATAAGTTATAGGATAAGTTTCATAAACTATGATGTACATTTATCATAAGCTGATATATATTCATAGTATATGTACTCTGAGAATCATTTTCCTAGAAATCCTTTATTTTGTTACAGTAAGACAATTTTAATAGTAAGACAGTTGTAGTATTTTTAGTTCTTCATGTAAGTTTTTGGTTTCATTTCTGTATAGTTCACTTACATATACATTTTGAGGAATGCATTGAGAACTAGTATAGGGATGGCCTTTAATGTATAGACATTGAGCTTTCCCACAATTTGTGGGAATCTCTAGAGTACAGCCTACTGTAATAACTTGCTTTTTGAAAAATGATCATTAAAAATGTTTGTCTATTCATTAAACTATTTACTGAGTACCAACTATGAGTAAGATACTATGTTAGTCACTTTAGGAGGTAGAAATGAAAAGACCAACTGGGCTCTGTCGGCGTTTATAATCCAGGTGCTAGATGGGAATAAGGCACATACTCAAATTAGTATCATACAAGGCAGAGTATGGTTAGTGAGATGAGGTATAATAATGATACATAACATTTTAATAAGTTTTTGCAATTTACACAGTATTTTTTTATATATTATCTTTTTTGGCTTTATAATCTTTTGGTTAAGATAGAAATTATTAGTTTCATTTTACAAAACTGGGTATTGAGAAACTAACGTTAATTGGCTATTAAATGATGGAGTATAAATTTATTTTATTTTATTTATTATTATTTTTAAAAATAGAGTTTATTCGTGAAAGTACGAAAGAAAAAGAAGGAAATTCATGTCAGAAAGAGAGCTGGCGGCCGGGCTCGGTGGCTCAGCCTATAATCTCAGCACTTTGGGAGGCCGAGGCTAGTGGACTGCCTGATCCCGCGGGTTCGAGACCAGCCCGGGCAACTTGGCGAGATAACGTCTCTACAATATATAAATAGATAAATTAGCTGGGTGGATGTGGTAGCAGCTCCTGTAGTTCCAGCTACTTGAAAGACTGAGGCAAAAGGATCGGCTCTGGCCTGGGTGATGGAGTGAGACTCTGACTCAAAAAAGGAAAGAAAGAAAGAGAGCTGGCATGGTTGAAGTCTCTCTTCTAAAAAGCGGAATATAGATTTAAATCCAAGTTCAGTCTTCCATGTCCAGCGTGTTCTTGGTTATGGCATTCTGTTTTTCTTGGTGGTGTTTTTTCCTTTGTTTTGCATGGTAGCACTGCCTCTCATCAACCAGTATTTCGGTGTTAATAGTCTGACCTTCTTTTGTCTTACTGCAGTATTTGTACAAGCATTGAATTTTTAAACTTTTGTTCTTGATACTTTATTATTAGTGGAAAACAAATATTAAGATGTTGATAGTAATGATAAAAAAGGATTTTATGCTTTATTTTATTTTATTTTGAGTCGGCGTCTCACTCCGTCGCCCACGCTGGAGTGCAGTGGCACACTCATGATCACCCCAGCATTTACCTGCTGGGCTCACGTGATCCTTCGGCCTTAGCCTTCCAAGTAGCCGGAACTACAGGCATGCCCTGCCACGCCCGGCTCTTTTTTGATTTATTGTAGAGACCAGGTCGCAAACTTGCCCGGGCTGGTCGCGAACCCGCAGGCTCAGATAACCCACTCACCTCAACCTCCCAAAGTGCTGGGATTACAGGCCGAGCCACGGAGCCTGGCCTTGTGTTCATTTTAATACCCTGAAGACCAAGATAGAAATTCTTAAGTGTGCCAAAACTGGCAAACCTTTAGCTTTATCTCAGTGTTCCTTGGGCCTCAGTTAATGAACCGCATATGCTATTGCAAAGGAAAACATTCCAACAGCTTTCCCACCCTATGTGCTAAATCAGTCCAAAGTTTTACTTCCACTTTGGAGAAAATAAAGGTATCAGAGATAATAGACAAAGGGAAAGTTGGAGGTTTTTTTTTTGTCTGATTGTTTCAGAGTGTTGAGTTAGTTTGATGAAAAACATAGTAAACTGTTAGGCCTAAATCAGAGAGGCGTTAATATTTGTCTCTTTATAATAGATATAAGTTTTAAGAGAGAAATGAAAAGGATTATATATTTTAATTGTTTCACTGAAAACTATGAAGAGACTCAGTTTATCTACTTTTCATATCACTAGTGTCAGTCACTTAATTTGATTTTGTATTATTTGCCAAAAAATATTCTTGCATTTTTTTCCTCTTTTGTCCTAGGTCATATAAAAGTGGGTCTGGAGTAAACAACAGAAGAACTGAGCTATTTTTGAAAGAACATGACCACCTTCGAAAGTAAGTGTTATTGAATATATGTGTACATGTATGTACATAGTATGTGTACTATGTACTTTTTCATGTTTATTCATTCATTTACTTATATAACAAACATTTTATGATATTTATTATGGTAAGTGCCTTATCAATGGTAATTAATTTAATTTTCCTAGAGAATTTTCAATAGAAATGGAATTGTAACTGTTTCGACCATAATTAGAAAGACACTGTTCTGTTGAGTATTTTACATCACTTGTTACCTGCAGTGTTTTTTATCACCTTCCCATGTTCTTTTCTTTAGCAAGTCTGTTGCTCTAATGCTTTTGGCCACAACTACAGGCTATTACTAATAATAATAATACTGATAATGACTTATGTTTGAATATCTCGAAGACACTTTATAAAGAGTAACTAGGCCATATATCAAATCCAAAAATAAACATTTTTTTCTTTTCTGAGATTTCAGAAGAAAATACCTAAAAACTTGGACAGACTATATATATATGGATGAACTATATACACTATAAGTGTAATTTTTTAAACAAATCACCATACTCAATTTTTGCTTCATTATTTTTCTGTTTTTCTTTGAAATATACTGTTTTCTTTGCTGTTTGCTCTGTATTTTGTTGTAGAAATTAAAGGTCAGAAAATTACTTATCTCTGTGAACTCAGCCTGTAAATGCTTGAGCAGTTTGGATGCATTGTCATTAAGTGTTAGAAATTATGTTGATATTTACCACTGCATGTACACAAATTTAGTCACATCGTAGGCACTTACTGTACTGTTCAGTTTATTTTTCATTAAAGATCACCACTTTAAACATATGCCGTGAAATCAAAACACAAAAAGATCAAGACCTTTTTAGAAGCCAGGGTGTTTCTAGTTTTAAAACTTGTTTTTAATGTTCTTTCTTTATCTGTTGAATGTTATTGGCACAAGGGGGCAGTCTTTTCTAAAGCATGTTTCGTTTATAATATTCCTGGCATCGGTAGTTCTTTTTGTATTTGGTAAAGACGACCATAAAAAGAATTTTACATTGTGTCCAAAAATATATTAACATATTCCTAGAGTACACAGTAACTTAAGGGATAGCATATTCTAGCAGCACAAAATAAAGATGTGATTGCATTTATGTTTCTATATTTATTGCTTCAAAAGTAAATTAAACAAAAATATAGTAGTTTATTTTTAAAAGATGATTTGATGCTAAAAAGAGTATATTAGAGTTATTGCATACATTGATATTCTTTATTTCATTACTTTATAACATTGTGTATTAAATCTTTTATATGAATTTTACAGAAAGTTCTGTATTTGTTATAATTATTCAAAAAAGCCCTTCAGGAGTTTAATATTGTTCATTTTGCCATTTTGCAGGACAGTGAACTATTCAAGTACACACATCTTAAATAATTTGTTTAGGGTTATAAAAATGATGACGAGGTAAAAATCAAAAAGTATTTTTCCATTTTGTTTAATCAGATTGTAAAGTCTCACAATTTTATATATACTTTATATAATTTTCAACATTCTTGTGAAAAGTTTGCATGTGCTCATTTTTTTTAGGCTACTAAATACAGTTTATCAGTTTATTTAGAAAGTTAGAGAAAGAAGAGATTCATCTCCCCAAGTTTGGGCAGGGGACCAAAGCCAGGAAACATGGCCTGACAATAGCTCAAAGAGCACATGGTCTCACCATAGCTTAACACGACAATGGCCTGGCAGTGGCCTGCATGTGCTCATTCTGTGTGAAAAGAAACTGAGGCAGGAAGAAGTTGAATGGAATATGAGCTTCTGATGAGTTAGTAGAATTGCTAAGACCAAAAACAAGGGCTTAGTCATTGCTCTCGATATTAGAACATGATTATCTAAATACCTTTTTTAAAAAACAATCAATCTTATTAGTAAATTACAAATACTGTCTAGGTGGGCAACCCCCTCCGGTCCCCTCCCGCTCTGGGAGTTTTTCTGTCCTCTGCTAGGTAACAAGAAAATTATAATGTAAAATATGTTTACAAAAGTGAAAAACTTTTCTCTAGATTTTCAGTTTGTCTTTGTATTTCATTGGCTAAGTGCTTTGAGAAAGAATTGGCAAGATTTGTTTTTCGAATAATCTTTTTTTAAATAGCAAAAGCTATAAGTGCTCTTTATATTAATCACTTTAGAAAGTGTAAAATAAGCTGGGCTCGGTGACTCAGCCTGTAATCCTGCGCTTTGGGAGGCTGAGGTGAGTGAATTGCCTGAGCCCATGGGTTCGAGATCCGCCTGGGCAACTTGGCGAGACCTCATCTCTACAATAAATAAAAATTAGCCGGGCGTGGTAGCGCACACCTGTAGTTCCAGCTACTTGGAAGGCTGAGGCGGAAGGATCGCTGGAGCCCAGCAGGTCGAGGCTCAGTGACCGGGAGCAGCCACTGCACTCTAGTCTGGGCGACAGAATGAGACTCCAACTCAAAAAAAAAGAAAGAAAGTGTAAAATAGACTGGGTATGGTGACTCCCACCTGTAATCCCAGCACTTTGGGAGGCTGAGGTGGGAAGACTGCTTGAGCCCAGGAATTCAAGATCAACACAATTATCAATTATCAAATTAACATTAGGACAATAATAATAACTAAACTACAGGCTTTATTCACCAGTTTTTCACTAATCTTCCTTTTTATGGTTCAGGGTGCAATGCAGGATCCCACATAGCATTTGGTTGTCACACATCCTCATTCTCCTCCAATCTGTGACATGATTATCCAACCTTAATTTGTCATTGGAAAATCTCAGAAAACTCAGACTAGTACTCTAAAGTGTTATGGTCATGATCTTAGGCAATTTGGGGAAGAATAGCACAAGTGATGCTGTGCTTTTCTTTGAGCAGCATATCAGGGTATATATCATGTCAATATGTCTTTACTGATAATGTTAACCTAGATTACTTGGTAAAATTATTGTTTCCCATTGTAATTAATAAATAAATGGAAAGATACTTGGAGACTGTGCAAATACTCCATTTCTCCTCAAACTTGTCTCCACTAGTTTTACCATACATTAATGAATTTTGCCTTCACAATTATTGCTGTGGTACTTGCCTACTGGTGATTTTCTGTTTCAGTCTATTGACATTTATTAATTGTAATTCTATAAGGAAGAGCTGTCTCTTCTACACTATTTATTTTTATTATTTATATCAGTATAGACTCATAGATATTTATTTTATACTGTGGGCTATAATTCAGCACTTTATTTTATTGTTCATATTGTTTAATATTTGGCCAGCAGGAGCTCCTTCGGATTAGCTTCTGTCATTTGACTTATCCTAGTCTTTGTTGAGCACTTCCTGTACTTTCTGGCAGCACAAGATGTTCATGGCTCATCTTGGATATTCCCTACCTCAGCTCTGGAATCATCCGTTAAGCTGCCTTGGTTTCTCTTACTGGAGAACGGTATTCAGAAACTAAGATCTGAATGCTAGGTTGTGCTTATTGTTATTGAAGTGTCATTGCTTTAGGCTCTCTCTTGCTGAAAATTTTTATCATGAATGAGATTGAATTTTTTCATATCTTTTTTTGCATCTATTGAGGTGATCAATTGTTTTTCTCCTTTACTGCTGTATTCGTTGAATTACATGGATTATTTTCAAACATTAAATCAATCATAGATTCCTAAAATAAGCTCCACTTGATCATGATATATTTATTATCTTGTTTATATGTAGCTGGATTTATCTTGTTAAAGATTTCTGCATTATTCATGTGAGGAATGTCTGTAGTTTTTTATTATTGAGATGTTTTTGTCTGGTTTTAATATAATGAGTTGGGAAGTATCATCTTTTCTATTTTCTGAAAGAGTTTGTACAGGTTTGGTGCTACTTATTCCTTAAATATTTGATGGAATTACCAATGATCTGTTTCAGCCTAGAGTTTTTTTTTTTTGTGGCAAGATTTTTAAGTTACAAATTCAGTTTCTTTTGTAGATACAGACTTATGGGTCTGTTTGGTGGGTTATTGTGATTGGCCCTGCCTAAGGCACAAATCCTTCTTTGTGGCCAGGCAGTTTAGAAAGTCTGTTATCAGACCGGGTGTGGTAGCTTACCCCTTTAATCCCTGCACTTTGGGAGGTGGAGGCAGGAGGATTGCTTGAACCCAGGAGTTTGAGACCAGCTTGGAAAACAAAGCAAGACAGACCTGCCTAAGCCCAGTAGGTTGACTGTGTTGAGCCCTGATCCTCCTGAACTGCAGCTTGGGCCACAGGGTGAGGCCCTGACTCAACAACAGCAACAAATAAAAAAAGAAAGAAAGTCTGTTATCAGAAGAAGAGAATGCGGCTATTGGCTTCAGGGAAGTTATCAGCCAACTTGTCAATTTAATTTGGGTTTACTGCAGTCTCTTCTGTATACCAAGCCGTAGATGTAGAGATAGTATGGTTAAGCAAATCTTTTTTTCTATGACTTATGGAAGTGACTTTTTACTTCTCCCTCTGTTTCCTCACCAATTTATTACTAGCTTTTTATGGGCCACTGGCATCCAACATGATGAATCTACTACCTAAATCTCCAACTTCATTGCTTGCTTCCCATTCTTTGAAGCTTATCAGTCTCTTCCTTTATATCCTAGGTACCAGCCATATTGACCTCTGTTCATTTCCTTTCACAGAGATATCAAGCCCTTTCCCTTCCGTTTGTACTTACACTTCATCTGCTTAGAATACTTTTCTCATAGTTTTTTTATATAGATGATCCACTGACATCTTATATGGTCTGAGCTCACTTATCACTTCTATAAAGAGGCATTTTCTAACTATCTTTTTTTTTTAACAAAGTACCTTTTATTTCCTTCAATAATTTCTTCTCTTTACTTTTTTATTACCTGACCCTCCTTGAACGTAAGCATCATGAGATCAGGGACTTGGTTATAGTTATAGTTAGTACTGGGTGCCCAGTTCCTATTATATCATAGACACTTAATATTTGCTTTTTATATGAATAAATAGATGCAAACAGGTTTTAATTTTGTTTTCATATGCATA